GAAACTAAACAAAAACATTATGCAAAGAAGTTTGACATTTTCCCGAAAAAATGAAGTGGGAAAAGCACAGAATTCAGCTTGTACGATCTGTAATGTATAGTTTCGTTTTGGATTGGCACAAACAAATATACTAGCAATAAGTCGGCCGATATCATAACATGGGCGTTATTTTGTGAGGACTTGACGTTCATTTGACGCATTTGACGTTGTAAAAGTGCTCCATAGCGCGATATCAAGCCCGGCAAACTGCCGCTTCACTTCAAAATTGTGTTGTACGGTAAAACGAGCGAACGGCATTTTCGAGATAGAGCGGAAGGTTGATTTGTAAGTATTGTTTATGTTTTAGTCTTATCATTCATTTAAGTTGTATTTTTTCGAAAAACGGAAAATGTAGTTCCGTGTAGGATTGTTTTAGGCTTCCAATGATCTAAGCTGTTACAAAAAGAAATAATAATAAACTCGGGAGAACTTTTTTCCCTGACGAAGTGAACGACGATTTGTAGAGTATTGAACTTTCCCACCATTAAAATGCCATACCTTTCGGATTTTTTTTGTATTAGAAAAATATCAACCCGTAATAAGAACATGTACTTCCTGCAACATAAATTACTCCTGAGGATTTCTTAAATTTGTAAATCGATGTTTTTCGAAAGTAGTGGAGCCAAAGGGCAAGAGATGGAGAGAATAGTTCGATGATGAGCGCAAGTCGATATTAAATTTCGTATTTGGAGGAGCGTATGTTATATTTTTTTTATATTTAAAAGCTATAAAAGTTAGAAATGACCAAGTGTTCTGACCGAGATATACTTACCTTTTTAATACAACTAATAAAGCGTGATATCCTTTCAACGACTATAGAGTAATAAATGTAATCGCGAAGGTGTCACCGGTGGCTGCCGTATAGATTCTATTATTTATGTTCCAAATTTGGATGAGGCCCGATTTTTAAATCATATGCATGGCGAAATACAATGTGCCACTTATGCAATCATGATTTTTGACACGGTTATGTACATTTAAAAACGTGTGTCCGTGCATATTCGACAAAATCGAATATTTTCAGCTATACTGCGAACACATGTTTCCGAACAAGTACGTGTAACGCGATTGTTCTCGCCAAAATGTTATGTTTTTCGAAAAGTTAGATATTCAAGGTGCAGAACAGTGACAAAATTATGCAAATCACGGGGCACATTAAATGGATCACTACTATATACCGAGTTCATTTTGCTATGACTTTCTATAATAATAGCTCTAACAGATCAAACACAAATAAGCCACGTTTTCATGAAAAGAAATACTTTTGTAAGGTGGGGAATATCTATGAAAATGGTTGACAAAAGTCAGTCGTTCTAAGGATATGACATATGATAAACAAGATCAACAAGAAAAGGCGGCGTTCAATGAACGTGACCAAGCAACAAGAACCGGTGGCAATGAACCCAGGAGGCCCTCAAACAAAAACAGAACAGGGCGCAATGCGGAGCACAGACAGGGCAATCACTAATTATAAAATGAAACATAAGAAATGATAAAAACAGACAAAAAAAACTAAGAAAAAGATAATTGACTGTTTAAAAGGCTCACAAAGCACAGGGGCACAGGGAAAAAGGGGGGGGGGGCAAAAAGGATATAGGCGTGTTTCAGTTATGTTTCAAGATACTTATTTACTTATTTACTAGGATCCTACATGTTTACCGGACAATCAGTTTACCGGACATAAGCTATTACTGCTGAACAGTGCTTTATTTTTTGCTTCGATTCAAAGAGCATACAGTTTGAATTGTACACACACTTTCTATTTCAAAGTAAATAACAACAATACCACTCTCGGGTAAATATTTTTGATTCAGTTCTTTTTTCACTAACATGCCCTTTTGTTTACTAATTATTTCATGAGGGAATAACCTGCTCTGCGCAGGCCCGAATATGGAGATCCTTAATGTTTTTTTAGACTGGTTTTACTTTAAATTTAATTCTTTTCAACGTTACTTCAAGAGACAATCGTAACATATTTCAATGATAAAAAGTAATTTTAAATTTAGTGTAAACAGTATCTCGTTCATGTTGTTTTTTACAAAGAAGCGCAAATTAAAAACATATGAGGAAATGTGTTACGCCCATGGGACGAAACTCTACATGACATGTAAATAAAATAGATTTTATGGCTTTTTGTAACATACTGCATGATTACCAAAAGGAAATTGTATGCCAAAGAACAGAATTCCATTTGAATATCAAAATTAAATAATAATGAATAATGATAAATAAAATGTTTCATACGTTTAAGGATCATGAAGAATCAATACGTTAATTGAGTTAATAGTGTTAATTTCACTAACACCCTATATATTGGCCTCTTAATATCAGGCATGGCTGCCGTGTCTATTTTTAGTGACAAACTGGGTTTTTCAAATATCTTTACCTTGCCATTCAATAGTCGTAGTTTCCTTGCTGATTGTTTAAAGATTAATTTCAATTCGCAACTACCAAATTGTTTGAAAGTCAATGTCCGGTAAATTGAGTTGTTAACACAATTTTTTCCTCTTATAAAGCCCTACTTTAACCCATTACCCGATATCATGCCTTTTAACGCCCTTTTAACCCCCCCCCCCTTTTTTGTTGTCTGAAATGGTGAAAAAATGCCTTATTTAGGCCCCAAACACTTGTTTTTGTTTGAGAAATGTTGTTTAAAAAGTGACCACTTTTTTCGGCGCGGCCCCCAACCAAAAGATATATCAGGGGGTTACCAGAAGGGGGATGTGCCCCCTTCTATTTTGGGGGTTTGAAGGGTGGCGGTAGTTCCCCTCATCGCCAAGAAAACTTTGGACTTGTGAGGGGCTAAAGATGACCCCAGCTCGATCATAAGGTAACGTGTAACTAACGCTGAAAAGCATTTGACTCTATCTGGATCCATTGAGAAGTTGCAGCACTTTGAAATCAATTTTGATGGAAAAAATCAATGCAAAATAGTGATTTTTGGCAATTTTGAGATGTTTCCTCGTTGCCATGGTAACAGGAATTTTAAGCCTGGGCATGTTGTTACAAAGGCAATGATCCAGTCAACATTTGTACTAAGTTTAATTAGTATTGAAGCAGTTTTTATGGTTTAATAGCAATTTGAACTTGTAACGGGAGACTATTCAATGAAAACAGCCATTTTTCACAAAATGCTCATGAAGTAATGGTTAAAGACACATTTCTACGGTCATATGTTTAATTTCATGTTTGATAAAGGAATGTTTACGTGCAATAAGAACCCAAAATTATTTGGGTAAAATTCCATTCATTTTATTATTTTAAATAAAAGTTGCAGATGAAAAACTTCATATTTTGTCCGGTAATATGTAGGATCCCAATAGCATTGTTGTTTAGTTTACCGTTTTACTCTCAAAGTGTAAATAGAACTGTTTACTTATATAATCAAATATTGTATATTGTTAGTACAAAAGTTGGTTAAAGAAATAAAAATAAGTTGAAAGAAATATATGTAAAATTTTGTTTGTTCACATATCTATAGCATCTATAACATGAGTATCTATAAATAAAAAGGCAGTGCTCAGTCGGTGTATGGACTAAAATTATTAATAATTGATAGACCTAGTTATAGTAGAAATAAATTAATATATTATCATATTTCTTCAGCTTCACATTTTAGTACGTCTATTTTAACTTTGAAATATTTTATTTATAGAAATTCGTAGACTACGCTCTTTACACCAACTTATTATCGCCTTGCGCCCAACAACCGATCTTTCGCTCCATCTCTTGTCCTTTGGCTCCGCTACTTTCGAAAAAATATCGATACACAGATTTAAGAAATCCTTGATAGACCTAGTTATAGTAGAAATAAATTAATATATTATCATATTTCTTCAGCTTCACATTTAAGTACGTCTATTTTAACTTTGAAATATTTTATTTATAGAAATTCGTAGACTACGCTCTTTACACCAACTTATTATCGCCTTGCGCCCAACAACCGATCTTTCGCTCCATCTCTTGTCCTTTGGCTCCGCTACTTTCGAAAAAATATCGATACACAGATTTAAGAAATCCACCAAGAGTCGTTTATTTTGCACGAAAGAATAGCTCTTGTTACGGGTTGATATTTTTCAAAAAATCCGAAATGTAGAGCGTTTCAATGGTTGGAAGTTTGACATTTAACAAATAATCGTTCACCTCGTCAGGGGGAAATTGTAAATGGATTATAATTGGATAATTTAAATGGCAGGTATGTAAAACTTTATATGAAATATATTTTGATACAGTTATGAAATACTATTATTTTACACAACTATAACTGATCACTTTCATTAAATATGTTATAGCTTGCCTGTACATAATGTCTCTTTAAGGAAAACATGACCATGAAGCATGATACTATTTCTTGTCGGTACTGTAGGCATGAAAACATTTCTTGTCGGTAGACATGAACACATTTCTTGTCGGTACAGAAATATTGCCTAAATGCAGGATATTTTGTAATCAATGACAACGAAATGTTTTAATATTATTTATTAAATATAGGCTGACAATAAATTATTTGAAGACATTTAAAAACCTACGCCATTATAAGCAATAATGAAACTTTCTTGTCGGTATCCGCGAATATTCTCATAAGGTCATTCATTAATGATGATATTCTTAATTGAATTAGAATACATTTAACATAATAATTATTATTTATAATACAACATAATCTTAATAAAAATAAATTATGATTTTACACTTATACACAAATTCTTAATGTAATATCAATGTTACGAAGATGGCCGAGTTCTTGACGGTGAGAAACTGAGACTGACTTCTTGTCGGTATAGATATTTGCCTATAAACATGGTTCAGAACGAGTTTATTATGTTTTTTATGTAAAAAATATTAGGAATTGTTATAATTAAATGATGAAAAAGTGAAATTAATTCGTATTTTCCCATTTTTACTTCTTGTCGGTTCTTGTCGGTTCCTGATGGTTCTTGTCGGTAATTAGGGAGACCGGTACCTGCCATCAGAAGAAGGTTGCGCCAAAACTAAAAAAAGTGGATTTTTTCTCAAATACTACTGGTAAATTTATAAATTACTTATGCTTTTGAATAAATTCATTGTTGTAGTATTCGGCGTCATTGATATTTTGAACGTAGGTTTGGGAATTTCATAATTATCTCGCCGAAAATTAGTTTGTAATACATTTTCGCGACTGTTTTTAAATTGTTGCCTGAAATTTAGCGGCTGAGAGAGAATAAACATCAAATTATTATTTTCTTTTTATTTTTAATAAGTTATAATTATGATAGAGATGTCAAATGAAAGTTTTAATCAGAAATAATGAAATGTTGATTACTTTAAAAGAAATGGATAGTGCCTGCTTGCCTTTTGAAAGGACACTTTTCTGAACAAAGTCCTTTAGTAATAAAAATGTGAATATATTATTATGTTGATATATTTTCTTATATATAGTATAATGTTTGAAACATGAATGATTAATTGTAGGTAAATCATCTGTCTGTGACATGACAAACATATCTGAATCAGAGTGCTGACAACTGAAATAGCTGGTTTTGGAGAAAGAAAATGTCATTTTAGAAGCTAAAGATGACCAATTGATACAATACAGAGTCCTAGGCAACACTAAGCATGAGTAAGTAGACAAAAAATTCTACGAAAACGAAAAAATAATTATTCAGCTTACGCTTTTAGAGTTATTATGTAGAGTTTCATTGTTTTTTTACTGATTTATTAACATAGAGCTAAATGTTTAAAAAAACTGTTTAATTAAATTATTAATATATATTCTTTTTATACATGTGTTAAATATAGATCAAGACAATATTTGTAGCTTGTAACTTGTATCTATACACACACACATATACTTATAAGGTTTCTTTTCAATTTTTGCTCCAGAATGTAGTGATGAAAAAGAGGGCAACAGTCACCGAGCTGAAATTCAATAGCAGGAAATAGCTCATCTGGCAAATGATCAAGACATGGTGGAAATAAAGAACTGTAGAAAACTAAACAATTGAAGAAGTTCATATATATCGGGACTCCTGGAGGAACCACAATTGACACTTGACATTATTAACTCATGTACAAATTACAAAATGCTGTTTAACTATTCAACATGGTAATGTGAAAAAAGTCAGCTATTTTTTTAAAGTTTTACTCAAACTCGTAATAACTGATTTCAGATTTTTCAGATTTTATTTTCAATATATGCAAAAGTCGCACAATAGCGGGAAACATAAGCAAATTGTGACATACATAAATGCATACATACATACATAGAATCACATAACATAATGTAGTAGAAAACGGCTATTGAGATTTCCAAGAACAGAGCCTAACACATTCATATTTATTTAAGCTATAAAATTGAGCTGGGTATATATATGTAAGTGAAAAGAATAATTATTACAAAATTCAATCATCAAAGACACACAAAAAGAAAAAAGGTCATAACTTATCTTTCGCATATAGTAATTTAAGACATGATTTAAAATTGTCTAGTAAAACACATCAAGTTCTAATAAAATGTTGCATTATTTTCATACAAAAAATACTAAGATTCTTTAGTTTTTTTGTATTTTCCGATGTGACCAGGCATACAAATTTAAACATACTTTGCTTATTTATGTAAAAATTATCTATGTATATTTTTCTATCATTTTCAAATTCTGGACATACAAAAAGATAATGAAATTCATCGCCAATATCGTTACAAATATTACATTTACGGTCTTGAATAGGTATATTCTGCCATCGTCCTTTTTCAATTGGAAAGCGATGATTTCTCGTCAAAACTAGTATAGTAATATTTTCTTAGCTAATTTGCTTGGTAGTTTATCTATGTAATAGCTTTTGAATATACATGTATTTGTAAACGTTTGTATCAGAAGTGTAATTTAGTTCAGAACGCCAATTTTGCGAGTAAATATCTTTTAACTTTTGAAATGTTGTTTTTATCAACCACTTACTATTGCTTAAACTTTCTATGTACCAAATCCCAGAAAAAACAGTTTCACATAAATATTGTTTTACATTTTCTATCCACAGTGATTTAACTTTATTATCTATATGTAATTTACGTAAGAAAATATATACCTTTGAAGATAATTTTGTTGGTTCATCACTATTGATATTTTCAATAAGTCTTGCCCAAAATGTAATTACTCTGTGTTTGATATGCACACTGAGTGTAGGACACCTGTTTCACCATATATCATATAAGACGGGTTGACTATTTAAATTTAAATATATATTTGAGAAATTTTCAGCTGAATTCTCTCTAAAACATTAACATTTCCATATCCCCAAATTTTCGCTTCCGTACAGTAAAAATAGGCTTGATAGTTTTTTTCAAATAATTCAATTTGTAGGTCAAATGGTAAAGCCAAAGTTTTAATTTTCCTCAGTAATGCAAATAGTGCTTTATTAGCTTGTTCAGCTATTTGTATTTTAGATTTATAAAACGAACCACTTTTATTGAAATATATCCCTAAATATTTATATTCATTTACAATTTCCAAGACATGTTGCCCAATTTTAAAAACATTATTTATTTTTGGACGCCCTTTACTAAATATCATAACTTTGGTTTTATTTACATTAATATTTAATTTCCACTTATCACAATATAATTTAAACTGATCTAAAGCCTTTTGAAGATCAATTTCATTTTCACTGAAGATCACTGTATCGTCGGCATAAAGGAAAATAAAAAGTTTAAGATAGACATGTACGCCTTCAATAATTGTATCTTGAACCTCCGTTAATATCGTTGCTTTGTAAAAAGTATTCCAAGTCATTCAAAAATATAGAAAATAAAAATGGCGATAAATTTTCCCCGTGTCGTACCCCAATTAAACAATCGAAAAAGGGGGTGCTTCCTTCATTTGTGCTTACTCGAGACTTAATATTTTCATACAAACTTTTTATAACGTTAAAGCATTTTCCATTAATATTTTCTTGTCTTAATTTTTGCCATAGTCCTATTCTTGCTTAAAGTCTACAAAACAACAAAAAAGTTTTCGTCTGCCTGACTGGACAATATCGATTAAGGACTTTAGAATGAATATATTATCAACTGTCGAATGTTTCTGGAGTATGAATCAATGTGCAAAATCTAAAATACAGTTACTAAATATATCAGAGATAACAGCTTGACACTTTCTAGACAGATTTTAAGTCTACAGGATGTAAAAAAGCAAAGGAACAAGTAAGAAAAATGCCATTGAGCTTATTTTATCTAAACAAAAAGTAGTATGAATATAGCAAGGTTGTATTTGCCAGTCACATGACTTAAGTATTTTTGTTAAAACAATTTAATTTTGACTGATCTTTATAGGAAACATGTAAAGATTAATGTTTAAATTTTTATGTGTGTTAGCAAGGAAAAATCGTAAGTTAAACATACATGGTTTTTAAACATTGAAGTATGTATGTGTAAATTATAAAATATATTATGTATATGAATTTTTAATTTTGCTGATGTAATAAAAGGTATTGCAAAATAAATATATGTTCTGTTATATGTTAAGGAAAGCAAACCAATATGCTGTAAGAAATAAAAAAGCTTATTATGAATGAAGGTAAAAAATCGGCTGTAAGTCGGTACCCGATATCGGCATCCGATCTCGGCCCGACTTTGAGCCGGGTTGCACATCCGATGTCGAGCCGAATTCGGATGCCGATATCGGACCGACATTGAAGATGATATCGGGCCGGCATCGGTCCTATATGTAATGTTTGCTGGGTTGCTGTCTTTTCTTGTAAAAGATGATGATTCTAATGCATAGTATTTATGTCTACATTTGTTACAAATCATTTCATTGTCTTTAACATCAACAAATAACCGTTTTTGAAGATATTTTCTTATAGGTATGCTTATGTGTCTTCTTTCTTTTGGTTTAGTTCTTTTCTTGCACACTGCACAGGCATAAAACTTTGGACCCGATCCAGGCATCGCCACATCTGTATTTAAAATGTTTTACATTTACTACTTAAAGTCGATACGTAAACGGATGGGTAGTCTGGAGTTCCTTCCCCTTTCGCTACGCTAATACTTGTTAGATGCCGGGAACCAGAATAACGGATGGGATGCTTTAAATGAGATATTCTATCTCGTTCGACGCAGATTTCAATTTGTTATTCTGGCAATTGCCTGATAAATATAAACATTACCTTCACATATATTCTAACTCTATTTAATACTGAGCTCTACTTGGATAATGTTCGACTTTAAATTATGCAGACGAAACACTTGTTTTGACAATTTCATGGATAAAACTATACTAACTTACTTGGAAACTCCCTATCACGGTTATCACAAAGTCATATCTGGACTGGAATACATTCCTAGATCCGAGAATAAATCCTCACAAAATAAACAAACAAACGTTATTTGTCAGCGTTATTTACTAGGTAAAGTGTAAACAATGGATTTGTTGTTGTTGTCGTCGTCGTTGTCATCATCCGCTGGATTTTCACTTTTCATTCAATAAGTTAACAAAAAACAGACAGAAAAGAAGACAAATTTTATTTGACTAATGATTATTGCTTTCGCTCTCAATGATTGACCGCAAAAAAAGTAATAGAGGAATCTAATTTATAAAAATACAGCTAAACTCTTTGATGTTCTATGCATTCGATTTGCTTTTGCAGGAAAATATAAATTTTCGTAAAGGGCACAGGCCTCGACTTAAATTATTATGTTTTTGTAAATTATAAATACCCAGAATGACAATGACGTATTTTGCTTTTTGGTCGAGACCTGTGCCCCATTCAAATTTTTCAATTAATCGTCGAAAACTGATACAAAATATCGGAAAACGGGTTTTAGCCCTTACTTCAAGCGCATTTTATTGCACGAAGCAGACGTATTATCTTTACTGTTTTTTATTTACAAGCTAAAGATGTTGAAAATTGTTTCATTTCTTGAAAATTTGAAGTTTTATAAAATACAGAATATTATGCATATTTCATGCATAAGCGAATCTAGTCCTTACACAGATACCTGAACTAGATACTATCTGTCAGTTCGGCAGAAGATTTAAATAAGTTTTAAATCACTTTCACCTGCGTGTTGGCTATGTTGTCTATACATTAGATATTTGGGTTTCCGTACTGAATACTGTCATATGAGGCCTGTAAAAGGTTTTTTCCCCAATAATACCACCCGTGTTCAGATAAGTGGACAATACGATTAAAACTTGTTTAAATATCAAAATTATGTCCATTATTACTATATCACACAAACAGTTGCTTAAATGAGTAACATTTCATGCATAAAAGCACATCATTGCATGTAAATGTATTAAGATAACGGTACCGGGTTTAATCCACGCTTTATTTCCTGAATGACATATATATTTACCTCTGGAAAATGGTCTCTTCAACGAGTAAACGAAATAAAAAAGGACGGATATAACAACATTGTATAATTATAATAGATAAAACATTATGCACAGGGACTTCACTTTATCAAACAAAATGATGTGTATTATCGGTAACCCATCTCAGGCCTCATAACTAAAAGGTATTCTATTTCGATTTTCGTATAACGAGTCAAACAATAGTTTTAAGTTACTACGATTTCATATTTGATCTACTCTCGTGACAGAAGTCTTGTATTTTTGACAATGGCTCTACAAACATACACTTTAACCAATCATCGTAATACGTATTTCATTTGATAAATTTGTTTTTAAAGAAATACAATTGGAAATTAAACGCCGACGTGAATATATTAATATGGGGAATGCACGGTCTTCATTTTCCTTTTTAAATGGAAATACTGAAATTAAGGTAAGAGCTATAATATACATATACCATATATTGTGGCGACTTTCATATTTTAAACTTTTACTTTGGTAGCGTATAAGTCGCAACACTGTTTGGGGTTAAAACAATCTTTAAATAAATGGATATAAATAGAAAAAGTCTTTGTTTAAACTTTTAAAATGTAAGAATATTTATTGAACAGTTAGAACAAATATCATATATAAAAATAATTATGTCTTTAACATCTATCAATAATAGATCTAGTCATTTATAAACTATATCTCTTCTTTACACAATTTCTATTAGATTCTATTCTCAATTATTATCTCTGTTAAATTATCTTTCTATTTTATGTTCTGATATTCATTTACAATGTATCAA